CATTCCCCCCGGGAGTGGGGGGTTATTTCTTACTTCTGTGTCTCTGTCTCTCTCTCTCTCTTTCTGGTGAGCACACACGCCCTATAGCAAAAAAAAAAAAAAAAAAAAAAAAAAAAAAGCTCCTGTCAGCAAATGAAACAATAATTAGAGTAAATTGGCATCCCTCTGAATGAAAGAATATATTTGCAAACTGTGCCTCATATAGGGGACTGATATCCAGAATACACAGGGAACTCAAGCAACTTACCTGAAAAAAAAAATCCACCCAGTTAAAAGATGGGCAAATGAGCTGAAAAATTAGTTCTCTAAGGAAGATCTACAAATAGCCAAAAAGCATATGAAAAAATACTCAATATTCCTTATCAGAGCAATACAAATCAAAACTGCAATGTGATACCACCAACTCCAGTCAGAATGGCTAAGATTAAAAAAATAAAAAATGTTAAGTGTTAGCAAGACTGTGGCAAAAGGGAACTCTCCTACACTGTTGGTTGGAATGTAAATTAGCACAACCACTGTGGAGAACAATATGGAGATTTCTTAAAGACCTACAAATAGAACTACCATGTGATCCAGCAGTTCCACTCCTGGGTATTTACCCAAATGATAGGAGTACACTCAGAAAAGTATTTGCACATCCATGTTTATTGCAGCATTCACAATTGCTAAGATGTGGAGCCAATCAAAATGTCGATAAATAGATGTATAGTTTGAAAAAGTGTGGCCTATCTACTTTGAAATGCTACTCTGCCGTATAAAGCAATGACACCCTTGCATTTGATAAAAAGTGGATGAATATGGAAGATTTACTGCTAAGTAATACAGGCCAGACTATGAAAGATAGACATTGTATGACCCCACTCAATATATAACAAATGTCCACACACTGTAGCAGAAACTGAAAGATTGGAAGTTATAAAAGAATGGAGGCTCTTTTTTTGCTGCGTCTACTGGGAGGACCATTCTCAGCAACCAGACGGTCGACATTCCCAAGAACGTTGACATCACCCTGAAGGGATGCACCGTTATTGTGAAGGGCCCCCGAGGAACCCTGTGGAGGGACTTCAACCACGTCAACATCGAGCTCAGCCTCGTTGGGACGAAGAGGCTGCACGTTGACAAATGGTGGGGAAACAGAAAGGGGCTGGCTACTGTTTGCACTATCTGTAGTCACATCCAGAACATGATCAAGGGCTTCTACTACAAGTTGAAGTCTGTGTACGCTCCATTTCCCCATCAACGTTATTCAGGAGTATGGGTCTCTTGTTGAAATCCGAAATTTCTTGGGTGAAAAAATACATCTGGAGGTTTCGGATGAGACCAGGTGTTGCTTGTTCAGTATCTCAAGCCCAGAAAGATGGGTTGATCCTTGAAGGCAATGATATTGAACTTGTTTCAAATTCAGCTGCTTTGGTACAGCAAGCCATGACAGTTATAAATATAAAAAAAATAAGAAAATTCTTGTATGGTATCTATGTCTCCAAGAACAGCAGGCTTATGAATAAGATCTAAGAGTTCTCCAGCTACAGTAACAAGCCAGATAATTTCTAAGGCCTTCATATGACATTTTAAAGATGATAAAAAGACAACAATTGATTTGGGGAAAAAAAAAAGCATGGAGAACAGTTGTGGATACTAGGGACATTGTGGGGGGGATGGTAAGCGAGGGAGGGTGAACAAAAGGGAATCACAGGGATAAAGAAGCAAAACATTTAAGGCACACAAAAACGGAAAATTATTTGTTGATTATATATGTGATATCTTTAACTGGACTAATGTGCAGTGTATTCATGCTAGGAAAATTCATTTTTCATGCTATAATATTACAGTTATTGAATGTATGTAAATATAAAAGTATGTTGCTTACTTTCTACATGTTTGAAGATTTTCCTCCGATGTATTTTCATTACTAATTTCTAATTTAAGTTTTTAAAATCAGAGTGACTATTTTATATGGTTACAGATTTTAAAATTTTATTGATTTTTTTTTTTTTGGAGAGTTTTTTTTTTTAGCTATATAGGGTGCGTGCGCTCACCAGAAAGACAGAGAGAGACAGAGAGACAGAAAGTGAGAAAGCTCCCAAGGGAGAATGGCCATGCTGCAATCTCTTCTCCTCCATTCTCCTCTTGGGATCTTGGGCGCACACGTACCCAGCGTGAGTTTAAGCCACCGGGTCCGGGACTTGAACTGCGGTTGACTACATGGGAGTCCAGTGACGTAGCCATTATGCCAACTGCTGGTCCCAAAGTTTTATTTATTTTCTTTTTTACAGAGCATATGGTTTGCCTTTGGAAATATTTCATGAGTAATTAAAAATTATATGTATCTGATAGTTTTTGGGCAATTCATTTTATAAATATTAGTTCAGCCAAGTTGATAGTGTTGATCAAGTCTTATATCCTGACTGATTTTCTTTTTGATCAGTTACTACTAGAGATAAAAATCTCAAAATGTTGTTATTTGTTCTCTGTTTTGTTTTATCAGGACTTCATGATTTTAAAGTTCTGTTATTAGGTACATACATCTTTTAGAATTATGTTTTTTTGATGAAGTAACTTATTCATCATCATGAAATGTCCTTTATTGCTTGGAATATTCTGTTATTGGATGGAGGGAGCTGAACTGTGTTGTGTGAAGCTTCCGGTTTTTGGGGTCCAAATCTCTAATATTAGAGACCTGTCCCTACTCCTGCCCCCAGATGTGAAATAAAGTCACAACGAGACAAGTAGGTAGAAAGAGTATTTAATAGAAAAGTAAGATGGTAAAAAATACACCCAAAAGACTTTGGGGTGGACAAGTCGCTAGGTACAAACTGTGTTTGGAATTGGCTAGATGCTATTTTTATTGTGAAAGGCAATAATGAACATTAGCAAGGGAAGGTCTGTCATAGTACCTGTGATCTCTGACTTCGTGGGCTTTTGCCTAAGCTTGCACTTCTCTCTCTCTCAGGTGAGGAATTTGAGAAATTTGATTACCTAATCACACATGCCCAGTGTGAATTTTGAAGGTTCGAGCATCTATATTTGGATGATCTGTCCTACTAGTTTATTGCCCAAGTGAGAATTAGGATGTTGACCTAGCATCCCATCCTGGTGGTGAATTTCAGTGTGTATATTTGGGATGGTAGGAGAGAAGAAAACAACCTTGCTGGCACCAGGAACTGGGTGGGAGAAGAGAATTCTCACAGAGGGTCTAGTTGCATTCCCTGACAGGCTATGATTGATATGTAGATATCTTTCTGCTATTATTTCAGGGCTGCCTGTTCATTTCTGGCTCACCTACCTATCAGAATTCCTTTTCCTGAAGTCCTGTTATCTGACACTATTATAACCTTGTTTGCAAGGTAGATCTTTTCCATCCTTTAGCTTTTATCTGCCTTTTTATATCTAATTTTTTTTTATAGGCAGCACGTAGTTGAGCCTAGACTTTTTCAACCAAATTGATAATCTCATGTCTTTTAATTGAGGTGTTTAGTTTATCTCGATTTAATGTAATTATTGAGGTGCTTGGATTTACGTCTATTTTTTTTTTGTTCGATATGTTTTTTGTTTTTAAGTACCATACATACTATTTTCCTAATTTTGATCTTCAGTTTTTTTGTTTGTTTGTTTTACAAGTGGATTAATAGGTTTAAGACATTTGAGAAACAGTGTGAGTTCATAATTCTTTTAGATTAAAATATTTCCTTAATATTTTATAGTTTCCACCTATATGTAATTCATTAGCAGTTTCTTTAAAAGAATTGCTTTTATGGAGTCTTAGCAAAATATTAAATACAACTTTTAAAGATTAAAATTTCAGAAATCAAAATCTTTTTTATTTTTCAACTCCTATTTCCTAAGAAATACTTTTTTTTTTTGAATAATGTACAGTGGATATAAACAGATATAGGAACAGATATAACTGAGTCTTCTTGATTATTCTTCTCAGCCAATGGAAACAGAAGGGCACGAACATACTGGAGTGTAGCTTACTTTTTTTTTTTTTATATTAGAGGGAGTATATGCAGAGAGGGAAAGTGAAAAAAAATACTGCTCCCTCCTCCCAATGGGGCATGATTATGCTACGATACCTTCTCCTCCATTTTCCCCTTTAAGGATTTTGGGAATATGGGAACACATGTAGTGTGCCTCTTATGTTTCTCAAGCTATTGGGTGCTGGATTCTAACCATGCAGTTTGCCCAGTCGTATCCAGTTGCTTTAACCACCAGGCCATGGGGCTGGCAGTGTAACTTGCTATTAGCCAGCATTCAGTATACTCTTGTCTTCTTTATTCATTTATTGAAGCATTGGAGAACATGTTGTTTAAATATTAAGTAAAAGTAATGTATTTATGTAATGGTTGTAGTATAGTTTGAATAAAATTGCCAAGTGTTTATATATTACTGCTTCATACATTATTTTGCATGATTTATATAGATAATTTTTTTGAGATAACATTCAGAATTGGGGATTTTAATCTACCTTCAGTAAGGAAATGATAGTTATGATGCCTTCAAAATGCAAAATAATATAACCTTCATCAGAAAACAAATTGTCATTGGTGATCATTTGGAGTCCTTAATTTTATTGGGACCCTTTTATTTATTTTTTAAAAATCTATTTTTTTCATTTTATTTATCTTTATTTTATAATTTTAAATTTATTTTCATTTAATTATACATCTTTATGGCATACACTGTGGTTTTTTAAAGCATGTGTGCAGTGTGTGATGATCAAAGCAAGGGTGTTGAGTATAACTGTGAAATTTTGTTCCTATTTGTCTTCTTACTAGGATGAAATGTACAAGTTCCTAATCTGTATAAACTCAAAGACTTGGAACAGATGATCTTTTTCAAATGTCAAGAAGTAAAGAAATTAGCGTTTGTTATATTGTTGCCTAATAATGTTTTTTAACCTTTAAAATTTTGTTTATACCTAAAAGAAAAATATTTATATATTAGCAAGGAATACAGTTTCTTCTTTGGATCTCATCATGATGCGTTTGTTTTTGTTTCAGCATGAGAAAGCAGTTACCATGGATTTGACTAAACATGTAGAAAGTACTCTGAAAACTTGTGTAGGTACCAGAATGAAAGATCTGGCAGCCAAAGTAGAAACATTGAAAGAAATTAGGTAAGTAAAAGCATATTTTTGAGAACAGTAATTTAATTACTGGTTGGTACTTTGTTAAAATTGTATACTTAAATCATTTTTGCTTTGAAACGTAATATTAGTATTTTTATGACTTTAAAGTGAGAAGCTAAAAGAAGTTATTTCAAAAAAGTGTTTTTGTAAATAGGTATTTTTTCAATGTATTTTTTATAATTTCAAGAAAAAGTTTTGGTTTCAATTGATCAGAATCAAAAAATGTTAAGAGAAATTTACTTAAGATTTAAAGCCAGGAAAAAGGACTCAGTTCAAATAGTAGGTAGGTGAACCAACAGTTCAAGAAAAGACAAAAATCCTTAAATCTGGAAATCAAAGCACAGGAAATTCAGTAATGTTTTAGTCTAAAGTACAAAAATTCTATTTCATCACTTCAGTCTCATGTAATTAATCTCTCTTCAATTGAATTTGTAGTGTTACTGCAGTCTGATCTTTCCATTTAAACTCTGGAAGTTAACATTCAACTCGGGACACGTCCGTACCATTCGGCTGGCCATTTTCTTGGTTGTTTTTTGTAATCTTATTTCTGTGTGTCCAACTTAAGTTTTCCTGGTATAGCACTTCCTTCAGCACTTCTTGGAGAGCTGGTCTGATGTTGGTAAATTCTTTCAGGTTTTGTTTATCTCAGAATGTTTTTGTCTTTTTCCCCCATATGAATGATAATCTTGCTGGGTATAGTAGTCTTGGTTGAAATTATATTTCACTTAACACTTTGAATATATTTTCCCATTAATTATACATCTTTTTTATTTTAATTATACATCTTTATGGCATACACTGTGCTTTTTCAAAGTATGTATGAAGTGTGTGATGATCAAAGCAAGGATGTTGCGTTGTGTCTAAAGAGAGGTCTGATGTTAGCCTGATGGGATATCCTTTGAAAGTAACTTGATGTTTCTTCTTACCAAATTTAGTATCTTGTCTCTGTCTGTGGTTTTGGTCAATCTGGCTATGCTGTGCCTTGAAGAAGATCTTGTGTTGATTCTATGTTGGATCCATTGTTATTTGTTGGGTCTGGATATTTGAGTACCTCTTTAGGTTTAGAAAGTTTTTTTCCCAGGATTTCATGGAATATATTATCAATGTCCTTATTAGTATCTTCACCTTCTAGGATACCAGTGATTTGGATATTTGGGCGTTTAATGGTATTTAGTATTACTTGCATGTTATTATTATTTTGGGGGTTATTTTCTTAGTGTTTTTGGTAATTTTTTTCTAGGTCAGAGGTTCTGTCTTCTACATCTGAGATTTGATCTTCTACATGATCTAATCTGCTTTTAATACTTTTTTTTTTTGTAAAACCAGGCCACTTTAATGTTTTTGTACAATTTAATAAATAGTTTTTTGATGACTGCAGACATGTAAGGGTGGCTGTATTCAGAAACATCAGTCATGATGGTTTTCCAAATTGGTGTATTATCTTCAAAAATTACAAGGAGTTGCTTGTATGTAACTGCTATCAAACCAGTAAGACAACATTTATACATCCATCATTTTCAGGATTGTTGCTATCTTGGGCATATTTCCTTACAAATAACCTTACCTCCTTGTGTCACAAGGCCCAACTCACTCACATTCACCTCAATGACAATACCCTTGGTGATGACACCCTAAGTTGTATATAGTGGGGATGAGGGATTCTTCTTTACAGCAAGTATTGGCAGGCAAAAGATAGCTTTCAGTTTAGGATGTGTTATGTGGGCCTTCCTGAAATGTAATCCCATTGGCCCTAATGAACCTTTCATATTTGGGTGGTTTTCTAGTAAAGCTATCTCAAACAAAGTAGATTTTTGTAACCATCCTCTTCCATGCCTTTTTTCTCTTTCCTGTTTGAATAATTTTTAATACTTCTGTTTCTCCCTGGGCTCGAACTTTGGCTAGAGGGACTTCCCATTTTTCTGCCTTTTCTTTCCATTTTTGTTTAGTCATATTGTAAAGTATTTTAGCTCAGGACTGTCCTTTTCTGTCCAACAGATCATTCTTCTGTTTGGTCGTCTTCTTTCCATGCATCATTTTTTTTTTTTTTTT